GTATTTACTTTCTGATCAGATAAAGCATACCAGGATTACAAAATTCTAAGACAGCAAAAGTCAGAAGTGAAAGCCACGGCGGTTGGGGGTGAGGGGCAGGGCCAGTGCATCCTGGACATTTAGGGACAGCTGGGGAGCAATGTCAGTTTGCACCAGTAAGTCCACACAGGGTGATCTGTTTCTGTCTGCATATAAGACCCCCCCAGTGTTCAGCAGATGGAGGAAGGTCCCCAGGAGTCCTGCCCTCCCACCTTGGATGGCCCAACCTCTTACCCAAGTGCTCTTTTTTTTTGGCTTGTTTCTGAATTCTCTTTATTACTCTGACAGTTCACACTACATGCAGCTATAATTTGTCATTATTCCATATCATATTGTTCTTTATCAATTTACCTTTTTTAGGAGAGGGTCATCAGAGGTTCTACTACATATATCACAGTAACATCTAGCAAAACTTACATATTAAGCAATGGAAGTTAACATTGGTTGAATGCCTTAACAATGACCAAATCTGCCTGGTTTTTTCCCATGGAAAAACTGTCTTGTTTATTTGATTAAACAAAAATAAAATAAGCTCCAAGTACTCACTTTTGATTTGCATCATGCAGCATCTCAGTGGGGACAATGGGCAAGGAAGGAAACACTGCACCTGACCCCGACTGGGCAAGGGAGTGCCCAGGGTCCACCCTTTGAGTGTCCACCGGCCACTCACAGGGTGGGATCTGCTGCCCTTGCTTGCCTGGAGCACCCATCCCAAGGGGCACGGGATCCATCTGCCAGGGAGTGGAGCCCCCATAGCAAATCCTGCACTTAGGAGATCCTGTCCTTGTTGTACAGGGGCAAGGTCCAGAAATCTGCTGCTCTTGATCTCGGAGGGAGAGCAGTGAGCAGTCCTGAAGAGAGATCTTAGCTCCTTGTCCAGAGATTGAACCTGGCTAGCCTGGGTGAAAACCAGGAACCCTAGCAGTTTGACCACCAGGGGCTAGAGACTAGAAGCAAAGTGGCCCTGGTCCTTTCCCCTGTTTGAAAGCAAGCATGTTTCAAGAGACAAAAACTGTAAAAAATAGGTACAAAGTATATTTTTAGAGACACAGTACAATGTATGGGAGAGCACACAGGAAAACAGTTTAAGTCAGAAGCAGGGCAGAGATACACGAACCCAAAGTGAAAAGGTATGAGTGTCCTCTCGGTGAGCCAGAAACGAGGCAGAGAGAGAGGGTATGGGGATCCTGAAAGAGGAAGAGTGCAGTAAAGAGGTGACGTAAATCACCTACATAGGACAGTCCTTCCGGGTCTCTGCATGTGTGCTCAGTCACTTCAGTCGTGTCCAATTCTGCAATCTCATGGACTGCAGCCCACCAGGCTCCTCTGTCCATGAGATTCTACAGGCAAGAATGCTGGAGTAGGTTGCCATTTCCTTCTTCAAGGGATCTTCCGGACCCAGGAACTGAACCCATGTCTTTTATGTCTCTTGCATTGGCAGGTGGGTTCTTTACCACTAGCACCACCTGGGAATGTTAATCACTTAAATAGGACAATCCTACCTTTGGCCAATTATCTTGTTCCTTTCTTCACACCTAACTGGGACTTGGATCCTCCCCAAGATGCCTTGTGCAACTTTCTTCTAAGCTGGATCCCACTGCAGAAGTTTATGGGTGCATGTCCACACTTATAATGGGGTGGAACCCCTCCCTTTTCAACTCCTAAGAACCCTTCCTGCACATGTGCAGAAGAGTCTTCCTTGACCTCACGAGAGGGCACCTTGTCTCTCTACTTCAGCAGAGCTCAGCTTTCACTAGTTTTGCCCTTGGAATGTCTGGGTGAGAACAACGCTTGAATTTTACTTCACTTGACAAGTACCAGGTGCCCAGCCCAGAGGCCCATCTAACTCCTACCTCATTCTGAGTCTCAGTTTCTGCATCTGTCCCTCGGTGGCAGTGGCATAGAATGCTGGCCACCCAGGAAGGAGTTGAGCCTGAGAGCCCCCCTTCCCCACTGTGTCCCCTGTCCATCTAGACCCCAGGCTTATGGCACTGACATTACTTCTGAAACTGAGCAGCGTCCTGTGAGGCTCCCAGGTCCACAGAGAGCCTTTTGGTCTGCCACTTTTTGAAGGCAAGACTATAGGCTTCTCTGAGTTCCAAAGGGGAGATCTGAACAGTTGTTAATCAGGGAGGCGCACTTGAGACAAGATTAAAGGGACCAGAGAAGCTCATCAAGGTTAGGAGCCCAGATCACCTGAGATCCTGCCCACACCCTAATCTTGTCAGCAACTTAACCCTTTGAAACTTTGCAGAAGAAAGAATGCATGACTGTTCCTACCTTGATCCTACTACTATCAAGTATCTCTGCCTGACTATAAGAGCTCTCCCTATCCCCCAAGGAGGGTGGCACAGTTCTTGAGGCACTAGCCTACTGTGTTCCCTCGTTGCAAAGAAATAAAGCCACTCTTTCCTTCTCCTCCATAACTCCGTCTCTGTATTTCTGTTCAGCATGGGTACACAGAGAGTCAAGATTTTTACATCACTCTTAGAAAGGAACTGAGAGAAGTAAATGCTAGGAACCATTGACTTTTGAAAAACACACAGGACTTTCCTGGTGGTCCAGAGGTTAAGAATCTGCCTGCCAATATAGGGGACACAGGTTCCATCCATGGTTCAAGAAGATTCCACAAGCCAAGGGGCAACTAAGTCCATGCTCCACAACTATTGAGCCTGTGCTCCAGAGCCCAAGAGTTGCAAATTCTGAGCCCGCGTGCCACCGCTACTGAAGCCTGCAAGCCCTAGAACAGTGCTCTGGCACAAGAGAAGCCACGGCAATGAGAAGCCTGTGTACTGCAAATAGAGAGTAGCCCCTGCTCACCATAATGAGAGAAAGCCCTCTTGCAGCCAAAAATAAATAAATAAAAACATACAGTCTTAAAGTTGCCAGTTATGCCTTCTTTATTCAGAGACCTTAGTGAAGACTATAGGCTCTCAGCTCTGAGAAAGTGTTCTGTGAATGAATAATGTTGCCTGCCACATCAGTAAACATAAAAAGATGCTGGAGCCATCAGTCATTACCACTACCCCTTACGGTGAGAACTGGGAACTCAGGATGCAGACAAATGGGCTGCCGCTCCCCCAAACCCTCAGCAACTGCAGCCGCTCCCATCAATACCCAATAAGGGGACTCAGAATGGGAAAGAAAAGGATCATGGCCATAGATAGCTATGGTGCATATAAAAGGGATGATTTCAATGAACCCAAACTCTTGCATCTGCCCATACAAAGAAAAGCAACAAATTCATCAACTTGAGATATCTGGTTTTATTTACTAAACAGTAAACTTTTGATGTTTCAACTATCTGGTCTTCCTTGCAAAACTTCTATATATCCTGGCTCTTCCCTTACCTCTTTGGAGCTATCTAGAGACCTCCTAGTATGGAAGTCCTTAGAAAAAGTTTGGCAGATAAAACAGAGCTCAGTTTTCAGCTGACTGTTTCAAAGTTAAGAAGGAACCAGGATACACAGGAATTTTGCTAAAAGAAAAAAAAAAATCCACAAAGAAACTAAAAAACCCATGCAGTTGAACATCGAAAGATTACTAATTACAAAAACAGACACTTCAAGCTAGAGATCTTAGTGCTTTACTATCTTTGGGAAGATGCAAGAATGTGGGTTCATTGAAATTATTCCTTACATACACATCTCAACTATCTGAGGCCAGTATCTTGTTTTTCTCCATCCTAAATTCCCCCCAAAGCGAGTGGTACAGAGGCAAACGGCTTAATAGTGGGTATCATTTACCTTTACTGGGATGGCAGGCAACATTTTCTATCTGCAGAGTCATGATCCAGCAAGAATGATGCAGAATAATGAGGGGGTCAGGCAGTTCCACTGGTGGGCAGGATGCCCCTCCCTCTGGGAGGACGGCGCCCTAGGACCTGGAGCAGGTCTGGACTTCCGCTATCACCCCCAGGTCATGTTACACAATCTTCTTGTCCAAAGTAGGTGCTGTCCCCCCCAGCTTAGGATAGGCCCTGCCTGGACTGCAAGGAGATCCAACCAGTCAATCCTAAAGGAACTCAGTCCTGAATATTCATTGGAAGGACTGATGCTGAAGCTGAAACTCCAATACTCTGGGCACCTGATGCGAAGAACTGACTCTAGAAAAGACCCTGATGCTGGGAAAGATTGAAGGCTAGAGAAGGGGCCGACAGAGGATGAGATGGTTGGATGGCGTCACTGATCTGATGGACTTAAGCTTGAGTAAGTTCTGGGAGTTGGTGATGGACAGGGAAGCCTGGCGTGCTGCAGTTCATGGGGTCGCAGAGTCCGACACGACTGAGCGACTGAACTGAACTGAACCCCTCCAGTAAGCATCCTCCAGTTCCCTCATGGGAGAGGGGAACTCGGTGGTGGCGGGGCGGGGGGCGGCGCGGCGCGGAAAGCAGAAGCACCTCTGACTGTGTTGCGAATCTGGCCGGCCCGCCAGGCCAAGACCTGGCTGGACCAGGGCAGACCCAAAGTGGAGCCAGGCCTGGGAGGAGTGCGTGGGCTACAAACGAAGTTGAGTCAGAGTTGGGATGAGGCTCGAGTGAGGGGAGGGGCTCAGGACTGCGCAGCGACGTAGCTAGCGCCGAGGGGGCGGAGCTAGAGTGGTGGCGGTGTTTAGAGTCAGGACTCGGTGGTGATTTATCCCAGAGCAGCGGGGGCGGAGCTCAGTGAGGGGCGGAGCTGAGGGCACCTCCTATGGGCGGGAGAGAGGCGCAAGGCTTTCGGAGGCCCGGTAACTAATGAGGACCGAGCGAGGGGCGGGGTTCAGCGTTGTGGTCGCGACCTACTTAACGTCTGCAAGGGTGGGGCTCAGTGAGGGCAGGGTTTAGAGCCCTCGCGTTAACAGACTAGGCCCTGGATTCCCGGAAGGGCGGACGCAGTGAGGGGCGGGGCTGAGGGCTCAGAGGCGTCCGTAGCCCACGCGTTAGGAAGCTGGACTGAGGCGAAGGCTGGTGGTTTTAGACCCTACGGCAGCGCCGCCGACGCCATGGGCGGGGCCTAGCGGGAAGGGGCGGGCTCAGTGAGGGCGGGGTTAGAGCTTAGTTAACAGAGAGGATACCAGGGGCGGGGCCCACCGGGAAAAAGCGGGCCAGAGCGGGAGGCGGTCACCGGGGCCCACGGGCAACGCGCGGACAACCACACGGACTAACAGCGGCAGGGGGACGGATCGGGTCGCCCGAATGCACGGCGTGCCGCCGCCATGACAGGTGAGCGCGGTCCGGGGTCGTGCCTGCCATGCGGGGACAGGCACGCGGCCACGGTGGCGCGTAGGGTCCGAATGTCCCGATACCACTCCTCGCTGTGAGGGCGAGTGACCTTGCCCGTGACTGCGTGCCCTGTAGACAGGACGACGGCAGAGCGGCGCGCGGCCCGGGGCTGTGTTCTTTGTGGGGCGAGGCCAGGCCGGGTCTGGGAGGGTGCTTGGGGGCGGGGGCCATGGACAAGCTCTGGAGAGTTCTGGTGGGCAAAGCCACGTCAGGCCCTGGAGTCTTCTGAGCGTTAGGGGCCGAGCCTTGGCGTGTTCTGTGCTGTGATGCCAGGTCAAGCCGTGGAAGGTTCTAGTGGGCGGGGACCAGGTCTTGGGTGATTCCAGAAGGGCAGGGGCCAACGTTCTGTCTGCAGGTGGGGAGCTGCTGGGGTGAGGATCTGTGGCCTGGCAGTGGGAGGTGAAAGTAAAATTGGTGTTAAGGAATACTCTCTGGGGTTCTACTGTGCTTCGGAGAGATAGAAACTCCTGATAAAAGGCTGTGTCTTCTATTAGGAGTCACCTGAGGAGACTGCCCTTCCTGGGCAGTGTGTAGTTTCTGTGGGACTCTGGTATCTCCCAGGCTGCACCCCTTGTCCAGGGACAGGCCCAAGGGAATCTTGCACACAGACTCTGTCTCCCAAGGCTTTGTGCCCCATCTGGACTGCCCCAGCCCCTCCAGCTTTTTTTTCCCCCCACAGAATGCAGTTCCCAGCTTAGCCATCCTCCAAGGGCCTCTTGGAATGGGGACCCACCCACCACCTTCCTGATCCTGAGCAGAGTGACCCTGCTCTGTGGACCTTTCCCTGTAGGAGAAGCTCCATGAGAGTAACAGGCTGGTGAGAGTCCATGACAGTGTAATCAAGGAGTGTGGTGGCTTCCAGAAGCCATACCTTGTATCAGGGAATGCTTCTGAGGAAAAAGTCACTTAGGGTGACCCACAGGGTGTGGGAGGCCCCTGAAGTCCCTCTTCTCTCCCTAGCTGTCACTGGAGTCCCAGCCTAAGTCCCACATACAAGTAAGATTTCATGGGCAGGAACCTGGTGATTTCCAGGACACCAGTGTACCAGCCTAAGTCAGAAGAGACCCCCAGGTACTACTCACTCCCCTGTTGTCTCTCTGAACTGTTTTTATCTGTGGCTGCTATTTCTGAGAAAAGTTGATCCTCTGACCTAGGGTTTCAAATGTGACGGTTTCAAATATATGGATTTTTTTTGATGCATACATACTACTGCCTGACCTGAGGTTGGCTGAATTCTCAGATGCAAAATTATGGATACGGAGGACTGACTGTAAAGTAATGTGTGGATTTTTGACTCCTCAGGGTCTGTCCCCCAATCCCCTCACTGTTCAAAGGTCTATTGTACCTACTGTGTATCTGGCCCTGCATCAGGTGCTTCCTACTCAGGCCTGCTGTATGGGGAAATACGGAATATCTCTGTGTGAATGAGAAAACAAAGACTCAGCTTGGCCAGGTGCCCTAGACCGCTGGGGCAGTCAGTGGCAAAGCCAGGACTCGACCTTGCCCAGGGCCACCAATCCACCTTCTCCCTGCTGTCTCTGTGTTCTGGGCTTCTAGAGATCTCTTCCCTCAGAGCTGTTCATTTTGGGGATGGGGAACTAGGGCCCAGAGAGTACAGACCTGGGAGGCTGTAGGTCCCAAGTTCCTGGCTTACTGTCTCCATGCACCAATAGCAACCTGTCTTGTCCTGGGGCCTTTAGGAAGGGTCGCAGAGTGAGCGTGTGGAGCCTGATGCATCTTCGCAGGGCCCGAACTGACCAAGTATCACTGTAGCAATTACTGTTGCTGCAGAACCAGCCCCTTCCTTGTGGTGTGCTGGGGAGTGGGCCGTCTCAGCTCCATGCCTGAGGCCAGGTTGGACACTGGGACAGGAGGGGATTCTGGGAGATTCAATTTGGGAGGGGAGGTTGAGGCCCAAGCATCTGGACTTTGATGGGGGTGGTGGTGGTTGGGGAACTCAGGAAAGTCTCTTGAGAGGAGGACAGTGAGTGTGAGTTAGCCAGGTGGAAACCATAGGAAGAGGTGGTCTCGTCCCTGGGAATCCAAGGCAGAATGATGCAGTTGGGCGTTGGTGTGCAGGGTTGGCTCAGGGGCTGGGAGACCTGGTGAGGGCAAGTGAGGCCAGCTCCCACAGGGCCTCCAGTGCCAAGTCAGGCTAACAGGTTGGCCAGCCTAACCATGCTTGTGGTGCCAGGAGGGCAAGATGATGGGGGAGGGGGACTTCCGTGGTCACACAGTGGATAAGAATCCCCCTGCCAGTGCTGGGGGCACAAGTTTGATCTTTGGTCTGGGAGGATTCAACATGCCATGGAGCTTCTAAGTCCGTACCACAACTGCTGAGCCTGTGCTCCGGAGCCCATGAGCCTCAACTCCTGAGCCCATGTGCCGCAGCTGCTGAGGTCCACCTGCCCTAGAGCCCGCCCGCTGCACCTACTGAGCCTGTGTGCCTAAAGCCTGTGTTCTGCAACAAGAGAAACCACTACAATGAAGAGTAGCCCCTGCTTGCCGCAACTAAAGAGAGCCTGCATGCAGCAGTGAAGACCCAGCGCCCCCCAAAGAAGAAAGCGACGATGGGGGAGGTAGGGCTTAGCAAAGGTTGCTGGCGAAGGTCTGGTGAGTTTTTATGCCAGCGCATTCCTCTTCCTCCTTCCTTAAAAACTATCTGGGACTGTCACTTGGGACCAAACTGGTTTCCTTTCTTGTGCTTCGTCATGCCTGTGAATGGCCGCCCGGGTGTGGTTTGTGTGCACAGCTCTCAAATGGCCACAGGAAGCATGGGGCACGGCAGAGCCCAGAGCTGTGGTCCCCAGGCTATGCCATTATGCCCAGTGACGCACAGCTCCAGGCAGGGGAGGCCCCCCTGGCTGGCAGCCTGCCGGGGGGTGGGTGGAGCCACTGCAGAAGAGCTGGTCACTGTCCACTGACAGCCCTTGCCCTGAGCCTTGGACCTCTGTGCATTCGTTCCCACACTCTTTAGTGAGTGCTCCGTGTGTGCCAGCCCTGTGCACAGGTGCGCACGCTGGCTGCGCTGGGCAAGACAGCCCATGGCTCGGTCAGGAGCAGACAGGATGCAGCTAAATTGCATGATTATTTAGTAGATTGATCAGAGAGGCAGAAATGGGCCCCAGCACTGTGCCTGGGTCCTGAACTCAATCCATCACTCTCCAGCTGAGTGAGGTCTTGAGCAGGTACCTTAACTACTTATGGTGCCTCAGTTTCTCCTTCTGAAAATGAGGGTAGTGGTCATGCTTGTATAGCAGAGCTGATGGAAGAATGATGATGCATAGAGCTCTCAGAATGCCCAAGCATGGGTCCCAGTCCGTGAACTATGGCCAATATTGTTAACTCTTTAATCTGAGAGGCTACAGGTGATGAAGCCAGGTGGTCAGGAGGGTCCTGCCACGTGGTGGTGGTAGGTGTTTCTGCATCCCTGTCCATGACTGCTTTACCATGTTGGAGCTGCTGACAAGTCTGTCTTCAAAATATACTTTCAGAGACTGGGAGAATCAAAAGTTAGAAATTCTTATTCTACGGGAAATAGACCATCCAGGAGGAGGTAGTATCAGGAGAGAGAGATGAGAAGGTAAACAGTCCATTGAGTTGGGCCCATGGAAGAAATCCGGCGGAGGCCCCACTTGTTCTAACTCAATGACCCTATATTTTAAAAATCAACTTTACTGAGGTACTGTTTACTTATAAATACACTCATTTTTAGGGAAAAATTCTCTTTAAGTTTTGACAAACGTATATACTCATGGAACAATTGACCCAGGCCAAATCAAGCTAGAATGTTTCTGTCACTCCAGAAAATCCTTCATGCTCCTTTCCAGTGAACACCACCCAATCCAAGAATTCATCTCCTTTCTGTGACTGTCGTTTTGATCTTTAAAATTCAACAGTGGAGGGTTTCCCTGGTTGCTTAATGGTAAAGAATCTGCCTGTCAATGCAGGAGACATGGATTTTATCCCAGAACTGGGAAGCTCCCACAAACTGCAGAGCGGCTCGGCCCTTGTGCCACAACTATTGAGCCTGGGAGCTGCAACAGCTGAGCTCTGCGCAGCCTAAAGCCACGCTCTGCAACACGAGAAGTCATTGCAATGAGAAACGTGTGCGCCGCAACTAGAGAGCTGCCCCTGCTCAGCACAACCGGAGGAAAGCCCGCACAGCAGTGAAGACCTAGCACGGCCAAAAATAAAATAAATAAAATTGTAAAAGAAAAAAAAAATTCAACAATGGAATTTCCAAATAGTATTTCTTATTAATTACTAGAATTTATTTTTGGAGCATTTTTAGTTTATAGACAGTCGAGCAGATAGCACAGAGGGCTCCCCCCACCCCGTTTCCTCTGTTATTAATATCTTGCATTTGTATGGTTGTTACCTTAATAAGCCAGTAGTGATACAGTATTATTAATTTCAGTTGTTACTAACTAAAGCCCATATTAATATGATGGTTCATTCCTTGTGTTGTATACTTTATGAGTTTTGAATAATTCATGATGTCCTGTATCCACTATTACAGTATCATCCAAGAAGTTTTACTAGGTTAAACATCTGTGCTCCATCTATTTATCCCTCCCTCTTCCATAACCCTTGGCAACCACTGATCTTTTTACTGTCGCCATTGTTTTGCATTTTCTAAAATATCATATACTTGGGATCATATAGTTTATAGCTTTTTCAAATTGGCTTCTTTAACCTTTAACAAAACTCATTTGTTTCCTCAATGTCTTTTTGTAACTTCGTAGGTCTTTTTATCACTGGGTTATATTCCATTGTAACTTATTAAACTGAACCACAGTTTAATATATTATCTACTTACCTTTATATGTATTTTGTTGTTCAGTCGCTAAGTTGTGGCCGACTGTTTGCAAGCTTGCTCAGGCTCCTCTGTCCTCAACTGTCTCCTGGAGTTTGCTCAGATTCATGTCCATTTATATGTATATGTGTGGTAAAATACACAGAACATAAAATTTACCATTTTAACCATTTCATTGGGATTAAATACATCCACAGTGCTGTGAAACTGTGCATTTCAAGAATTTTTTCATCATCACAAAGAGACACTGTGTACTCATTAAACAAAAACTCCACTTTCACCCCTACCTGCAGCTCCTGTTAATCACTATGGTACTTTCTGTCTTTAGAATTTGCTTATTCTAGATAGTTCG